CCCCCCCCCAGCAAGCAGGAGCCAAATGGAGGGGCGCGGAAGAGGGGGGGGGCTGCATGGGCGATGAGGCGCCTTCTGGGCTGACACCCACCCACCCACCCCAGATTCCCGGTTTGCAGGAGCCGGATTGGGACTCTGGGTGCAAAAGCAAAGAGCAAAAATGCAGGAGGAGAGGGGTTGTAGAAGTAAGGGGGGGGGGGACCGGAGGGGCTGAAGGAAGGGGACCCCCAGCCTCGGAATGGCTCCTGGCACGGGATGGGGGGGGAGGCCAGGGAGAGCCAGTTTGGTGTCGTGGTTAAGTGTGCAGACTCTAATCTGGGGAACCGGGTTTGATTCCCCCACTCCTCCACTTGCAGCAGCTGGTGTGACCTTGGGTCAGTCACAAGTTCTTTCAGAGCTGTTCTCTGGCTCTCAGAGAGAGCCAGTTTGGTGTCGTGCTTAAGTGCGCAGACTCTAATCTGGGAGAAGCGGGTTTGATTCCCCCACTCCTCCACTTGCAGCAGCTGGTGTGACCTTGGGTCAGTCACAAGTTCTTTCAGAGCTGTTCTCTGGCTCTCAGAGCCAGTTTGGTGTCGTGGTTAAGTGTGCAGACTCTAATCTGGGAGAACCGGGTTTGATTCCCCTACTCCTCCACTTGCAGCAGCTGGTGTGACCTTGGGTCAGTCACAAGTTCTTTCAGAGCTGTTCTCTGGCTCTCAGAGACAGCCAGTTTGGTGTCATGGTTAAGTGTGCAGACTCTAATCTGGAAGAACTGGGTTTGATTCCCCCACTCCTACACTTGCACCTGGTTGGTGTGACCTTGGGCTAAGTTATTGAAACAACCAGGGGAACGTTTTGTATATAATGCAATACATACTATATTGAAGTTTTATACAAAGTGTAAATAAACTTTTAAAGTGCTTAATTCATAAATTCATAAACCTATTAATTCACACATAAGAATCTCAATATTATAAACAAATCACAATGCATTAAGAGAATCACAATGCATCAATATATTAAGGAAGCTTCCGGCTGGAGTCTTCCTTTCTGTCCTAAACTTCCTCAGAAGTAAATTCTCTTATTCATCATTTTGCTACAAAACAAACATTCCACAAGCACATATCATAAAGAAGGTGTCAAGAGGAAATATCAATTGTTATACTAAAATAAATTGAGTTGGAATTTCTTGTGTACCATTGAGTGAGTGTCGTCTTTTATTTTCCAAGGTTTTTTTCCCTCTCTGCTTATCAAAGCTTATGTTCCTGAAATAAAATTAATTTATAAGTATGTTTTGAATTCCTTTTTAGTATTTTTAAATAATAAAAGAGATATGAACTCACCAAATAGGAAACAACAACCTTCGTATCGGGCTCCAGTCCAGTCTGCTGCACACTATGAAATGCTAGAATGCCTTAACATCTTAGTGTGATCTCCGGCTATATATGTTTAAAGGAAACCTAACATTTAAAGGAAACTTAACCTATTTTGCTGCATCTAGTTAATCTTGAAAGGTAGACTTAAGCCATAGTTCTGTCAGAGCTGTTCTCAAAAAAGAGCACTTTCTGTCAGAGCTCTCTCAGCCCCGCCTACCTCACAGGGCGTCTGTTGCGGGGAGGGGAAAGGAGACTATAAGCTGCTCTGAGACTCCGAGTGAAGGGTGGGGTATAAATCCAATCTCCTTCTTCCTTCAGGGCCTTGCAACCACCCTGGTCCACCACCCCGAAGGGTGGGTGGGGGGTCCCTGCAGCAGTAGCGCTTTCCTCAGAGCGGAGACCTCAGGTGCCTTGCCCTTCACTATCCAAAGGAGTCTCAGAATGGCTTACAAACTCCCCTCTCCTCCCCACAACAGACACCCTGCGAGGTAGGTGGGGCTGAGAGAGCTCTGACAGAAACTGCTCTTTTTCAGGGACAGCTCTTGACAGAACTACGGCTTGCCCAAGGTCACACCAGCAACTGGGAGTGGAGGAGTGGGGAATGAAACCCGGTTCTCCCAGATCAGAGTCGGCGCCCTTAACCACGACACCAAACTGGCTATGCCAAAGATGGGGGCCTTCCAAGGAGAAGGCCATGAGCGAAGCCCTCACGCACCCGAGAGACCTCAGGCGCCTTGCCTTGGCCTGGGGAGGCAGGGAGGCACTGAAACGGGACTCCTGGGATAGGGGTGGGTGGAACAGGAAGCGCCCTTTCTTTCTCCTTCGAAGGGGAGGTGTCCTTTGGCTCCTCCCGGAAAAGTTTCCCCAAACACCTCATTTCCCCCCCCCGCACCTCTCAGTTATAAGGACAACAGCCCCAACCCTCCCATAAGTGTTTCTCCGCAAGGGCTGCCGTGAATGGGGACTTTTCCTGCCCTATCTGACTAAGGGACTGTCACAGTTCAGATGGGGTGTCACCTGACGCTGCCAGCACTCTGGATTTAGGATCCCTTGAGATGGCCCAGAGCACCTTTCCAAGACCTTCAGGCCTCCCTTTTGGCCGAATAGTAGGCGTGAGGACCAGGCAGAGTACAAGAAGGAAAGAAGAAGAAGAGATTGGATTTATACCCCACCCTTCACTACCCGAAGGAGTCTCAGAGCGGCTTACAAACTCCTTTCCCTTCCCCTCCCCACAACCCACGCCCTGTGAGGTAGGTGGGGGCCTGAGAGAGCTCTGACAGAAACAGCTCTTTTTCAAGAACAGCTCTTATCAGCCTTGCCCAAGGTCATCCAGCCAGGTGCAAGTGGAGGAGTGGGGAATCAAACCCGGTTCTCCCAGATTAGAGTCCGCGCACTTAACCACTACACCAAACTGGCTCTCCTATTTTATAGGTCAAACAACAAGGTGCAGAATAATAACAGTAAGTGGGTGAAAAGAAGTCAAATGCCCTAACGCGTCTAAATATATACTGTCCCTAGCTCACTATCTCAAGTGGCCTTAGACTACTCACCCTTCCCTCAGGATGAGGGTTTCTTCCCCACAGCAGCCTCTCTCCTGGCCCCTGGGAAAAAGAACGGCTTTGCCCTCTTGTACCAGTTCTTATATTCCCCAGCCCTCTTCTTCCCTATTGGTCAAAATTGGCACCAAAACTTCCCAAGGCTTTCTGGG